CTACTGCTTTCCTAACTTTTTATGCTCATTTAAGACAAAATTTGTTGTGTTTGTGTTCTAGCCCGAATCCAACTGCTCCCGCTCATTTTCAGCATGTGTTGTCCCGCTGCCCGACTCACCCATTTTCTACCCGCCGCCCTCGTTTCCACCTAACGAGCGGGGGGAAAACAAAACTGAGGATATGGTGACACGCACCTGTCAATCAATATCGGTGGTGGGGGGACCGCACTCCTACGTAAAGTTGCGGTTGATCTTAAAACCGCTCCAATTGGTCCACTGTTTTTATGTTGTTAAATTGAAAAAAAAAAGGACTGTGTTTGTTTATATCACCTCAATATGATGGTTTATACCAGGGGTGTCAAACTCAATTCCTGGAGGGCCGAAGCCCTGCACAGTTTAGTTCCAACCCTGCTCCAACACACTTACCTGTAGGTTTCAAACAAGCCTGAAGGACTCAATAAGTTGGATCAGGTGTGTTTAATTAGGGTTGGAACTAAACTGTGCAGAGCTGCGGCCCTCCAGGAACTGAGTTTGACACCTGTGCTCTATACACTATATTTATACACATGTCTGTCCAGACAACTTGAAAAGTAGATTTTTCACCCTAGGTGCCCTTTAAATTCAGCTATCGCAGAATTGCAAAACTCTGGAGGGTTTGATGTATTGTCATATTGCACAGTTAGTCAGTCAGTAAAACAGTCGTTCAACAGCGGCGTCTGGTGGAGGCACGAATGGCAAGAGAAATTTGAGATCTTAAAAAGTATACACAGCAGCCTCTCGTAGATTTGCGAAAACAAAAACTGCAAAAAACAAACCTTCTAGGACCGATTTCGTGGTCTCCAGAACTTTATATAGAGGTACGTTTTCTGAAATTCTGAAGGCAAGGGTCTAGAATGACAAGGCTATGCAAGGCAAACGTTTCAATGTTTACTAACATATAAACAAGACTCAGCACTAATGCGTGTGTATGTGTGCTGTTTAATAAGTCCATAACGATCCTCCAGCTGTGTGTGTGTGTGTGTGTGCGTGCGTGCGTGTGTGTGTGTGTGTGTGTGTGTGTGTGTGTGTGTGTGTGTGTGTGTGTGTGTGTATGTGTGTGTGTGTGTGTGTGCTATTAACCACCTCAATAGCATATGTAAATTTGTGTAATGCACCAAGCAGCACTGTTTAAAATACTGACGCATGTCAGCTCAGGCTCTCATCACACAACAGCTTTGCTCTTCAGCTGATGGTTTCCCACAGCGAATCACCCAGCAACTCTTGCTTAAAGCAGTAAATCTTAATGCGCCTAAAATCTGTCAAAAGGAAAGCCTCTACATTTTGGAGAGCACTCTTACTTTTTATCTCCATATAACCGTGATGACCTAGACCTGGCAGGTTATCTGAGATTCTTCCAACTCCCGTAGATGTTTGCAAACCTCCTTCTGTGAGTCACTATCCTCACTATGAATCTCTGCTTCCCGCCACTAAGTTATGCTAAAAATATCCCCAAACTGGAGCAAGGGAAACAACAAACAAGAAACAAAGCCAGCAATGGTGTGCCTCTGGGCTCTCCGAAACACCAGCAAGTTTGTTCTTGGAGAGTGAATCATCCGTCTGCTCGAAAACAGACTTCAAGCTCGAGAACCAAGCTTGATCCTGTTTTCTCTTTTGCACCGACGTGCAGGGATTTAGCTATTAGGGCTGCACAGTATCGGGAATATAACTTGACATTGTGATATTTTTTTTTATGTGCTATATAGGCGTTGGACAATGAAACTGTAACCACAGGAATTCATTAGTATGGTGTAGGGCCTCCTTTTGAGGCCAATACTGCATCAGTTGGAAATGACTGACACAAGTCCTGCACAGTGGCCAGAAAGATTTTGGGCCGTTCTTCTTCACAATAGTGGACAGGTCACTAAGTGATTCTGGTGGAGGAAAAAGATTTCTAACTCGCTCCTCCAAAACACCCCAGAGCGGCTCACTAATATTTAGATCTGGGTACTGTGCAGGCCATGGGAGATTCAGCTTCACTTTCATGTTCATCAAACCACACTCTTTCCAGTCTTGCTGTGTGTATTGGTGCATTATCATTCACGGCACCGGCTTCAGGATTCAAGGTTTGATCCAGTGGGTCACATTGATCCAGTGGGTAGTCCTTGGCAGCGACGTTCCCATCTACCACAAGTATTGGGCCAAGGAGATGCCCTGATATTGCAACCCAAACCATCACTGATCCATTCCCATGCTTCACTCTGGGCAGGCATCAGCAGTCTGGGTGGTACTCTTCTTTGGGGCTTTTCCACACCGTAACTCTCCCAGGTGTGGGAAAGACAGTTCAATTCAATTCAGCTTTATTTGTATAGCGCTTTTACAATGTAGATTGTGTCAAAGCAGCTTCACATAAATGATCATAGTAACTGGAACAGTGTGGTTCAGTAACTGGAACAGTGTGGTTCAGGTTTTAGTGTTTAAGTTCAGTTCAGTTTAGCTCAGTTCAGTGTGATTTAATCATTACTGAGAGTTCAAACACTGAAGAGCCAATTCATCGATGCGTAGCTTTACCAATCCTGAACCATGCGAGGCAGTGGCGATAGCGGAGAGGGAAAAAAAACTTCACCTGATGGGAGTGAAGAAAAAAAACCTTGAGAGAACCAGACTCAGTTGGGCACGACCATTTTAATTTCTCCGCTGGCCAAAAGTCTTGTGCAGAACTTCATTCGTCGTGGTTTAGGCTGGAAGATGGCCTCAGCGAAGACTCGTATGTCCCTGGAGCGTCGCTGGAATCAGACTCATGTTCTCCACTCCCCACGACCATCAGCGCAGCAGCAGCTCAGGATATGGCCTGGTCCCGGATATGGAATCCTTGGGATCATCATGTCGCTGGTCTTGGATCCAATCAGTGACTCCGCATAATCTGAGGACCTCGGGATGAGTATCCCCAGGTGAAAATAGAGAATAAAGAAAATAATTAGCGTAGCTGCTGTTCATAGTGTATATAAGCAAGATGCAGAAGCCAGTGTGGAACCCGCTAGGTGATGCATTGAGTGTATGCTTTACTAAACAGATAGGTCTTTAATCTAGTCTTGAACTGGGAGAGTGTGTCTGAGCCTCGGACGTTATCAGGAAGGCTATTCCAGAGTGTAGGAGCCATGAAAGAGAAGGCTCGACCTCTTTTGAAGTGAAGTGAAGGTGAAGGTGGACTCATCAAAGAGCAATACAGGTTTCACATTGTCCACAGCCCAAGATTCTCACTGCTGGGATCATTGAAAGTGATGTTTGGCATTGGCACGATTGACCGATTACTCTGCTAATTAAATCTTCACACTCTGCTCTTACTGGTGGGATGTGCAATCAATGAAGACTGGCCGCCAGGCTCCTCACATTTAGCCATGAAACCTTCAAGATAGGGCTGGGCGATATGGCAAAAAAAAATCTAGATTTTTTTTATAAAGTTTGACCGATTAACGATTTCGATTTTTTTTTTATTTTTTATTTGTGTAACTAGTCAACTTAAAACATTACACTACATGACTGAAGTAACATTCTCTTTATAAGTAACTTGAAAACCCATCTGGTTAAGGAACATTGTATTTTTAATGGCCATGTCATACATAAATTGGTCAACAAGGTGTAAATAAATGTAAAACAAATTCACGAGTTAAATAGCATTGCAGAAGATTTGAATAATGTAAATATTGCAGTTGCAGAAATTCAGAGGTACTTTTTGCAAGTTTTGCTGAGCCTAGGAGAGATTGGCTGTCAGCTCGGCTTTGACTTTGTGTTCTGATTGAATGTCAGGTTGTAATGCTGCTGCCTTTTTCTTAAAAAGGTCCAGTGAAAGAAAATGACTGAACATGTAAACTGTAAAGCCTAATTTACCCCAATGTGTGAAGTTGTGGACGTATAGCAGGAGCAAATACAAGCACCAGATGTGTGTCTAATATAAAATAATATATTTAATCTATTTTTCTTTTCCCCCCTTTTAAATATCCCGATCATTTGATGCGCTTTGCTCCACTCTCTGTATTATGCTGCCTGATCTGTCTGGTTTTCAACTAGGCTCGCTAAATGACATCGTGAGGGCGGATACTTTCATTTTCACTGTTCAAGCACTCACCTCTACTCGTGTTCAAACCAAAAGATCAGCTTGGTTCGAACTTAGATTGGCGTGGTTTTTCACATGGCAGGTTTTTAGCTCCTTCATACATGTGTAGATCGAGTTTATCGACTTGATGAGGGAATATGTTTTGACAATCCAGCATTGACTCATTATTTTAATGCAACAAGTAAAATCCTACATAACTTCACGCTTTAACAAACAGTCAAGCAGGTCGCACACCATAAGCACCGCGACATGGCGCGCACATGACAGTTTAAACCATCACACACACCAGACGCGCACATTCGCATGATATTTCACATGAGACTAATCACTAATCGTGGCACTCTGTGTCGCGGCTGAAATATGATCTGCATCCTGAATCGTGGCTGGGCGGCGTTGGTGTGTGTATAGAAACCTGTTCAGAATTCTATGGTGCTGCGCGTCGCCGAGCGTCGCTTCTGGTGTGCGACCTGCTTCATACAGACTAAACCAAAGCGCATTGGTGGAATTATAATGTATGCAAGTATTTTTTTTTAAAAATCGCGATTTCTTGATTTAATATAAAATTAACTCGTCGTCAAACGTAAATTCGAATTAATCGAAAAAATCGCCCAGCCCTACTTCAAGACAACATTGGCCAGTGTTTTAGTTTCATTGTCCGACGCCTGTATATTTAAATTAAGAGTATACATGTACCAGATGAAACAAGTGGCTCTATTTGGGAAGAATTCATAATTTTAGATCAGTTGCGATGGTTTTGGTGATCATTTTTGCTATCGTGATATTTAAATTCTATTATTGGTAACGCAATTCCCAACTCGACATTGCAAATCCTGTGATGCGATTATTACAGATGCAATAGCTAGTCAATAGCTATCACAACTCTGATTTGTTTACTCTACTTTCTTCTCAGCGAAAGCACAGACGCTCAAAGTTGCCCGACCACAATGGCCAGGAGCAGAATCTGGACCCTGCTATCTTTGATTCTGGGGCAAACCACGGTCAATGGAGGCTGCGCCAGGACCAACCCGCGGTCACCGCTATCATCAGGAGAGGGTCCAGACGGAGAAACAAGCCCCCTTTGAAGGACAAGAGTTTTGGCGGGCCTGAAGATGGAGTGGCGGTCGAAAAAGTCGCCCATTATGATCCGTCAAGCAGCCGTAACTTCAGCGAGACGCGGGCAGGGGAAACGGCCAAAATCCATCTGGTGGCACCGGGAGAGCCTGGCAGCGTTGAAGGTGCCCCACAGGTCCCGAGCAGTGACTTTGTGCCCAAATGTGAGATCTCGGGCAAGGATGCCCTGTCTGCCCTCCACCGCGCGGGTTCACGGCAGTGCAGACAGGAGATTGCCAACATCGTGTGCCAACACCAAGCAGGACAGCTCATGCCTCAGTCTCTGCCTCAGTTTTGCCCACAGCATGGTAAATGCACACTTTCATCCATCATATATCCAGAGCCAATCAAGTTTCAAAGTTAAAGGAACTCTCTTTTAGGAAGTGGGCTCATTTTTCACACCTTTCTTAAAATTAATCTGTTGACCATTTATAAATCCACTAAGCCTATCTCCAGGTCTGGCAGGTCTTAGCATAGATCATTGAATCAGATTAGACTATTAGCATCTAATTCAAAACTGTTTTTGCTAGTTATCCTATTTAAAGCTCGACTTTTCTGTAGTTTACATTGTGTTCTAAGACTGACGTTAAATTTAAGAAGTAGCTATTTTCTAGTTCGATATGGCTAGGAACTATACTCTAATTCTGGTTTATTAATCAACCCTGCTGAAAAATCCAGCTTAAACCAGCCTGGGCTGGTTTTAGCTGGTCGACCAGTCTGGTTTTAGAGGGGTTTTGGCCACTTCCAGGCTGGTTTCCAGCCATTTCCAGCCTGGTTTTAGCTGGTCAGGTCAAAACAAGCTATGTCCAGCCTAAACCAGGCTGGTTAAGCTGGTTTTAGATGGTTTTAGCTGGTCACTTTCCAGCCTGACCAGCTAAGACCAGGCTGGAAATGACTAGAAACCAGCCTGGAAGTGGCCAAAACCCCTCTAAAACTAGGCTGGTCGACCAGCTAAAACCAGCCAACCATCCTAGGCTGGTTTAAGCTGGATTTTTCAGCAGGGAAGGAATTTGCTGCCACACCATGGCTGCAGCAGCGCAGCAATATTGCGCAGCACCTGAAAATAGTTCCCTGGTAGATAACTACGTAACAGCGCTGCATAAAATCATTGCATCAGGTGATCAAATTACAATTTTTTTAGGGAGATGCTAACGGTCTGGATTTAATTATCTTTGCTCAGCTAAGCTAAATGTGCTTCCGCTACACCCAGATTAGTGTCTGAATGGATTAAAAAATGGTCAAACTCAACTATTTACTGAAAAATGAGACCATTTCCAATAATAAAAAGTGTAGCGTTCCTTTAACTGAAGTGAACAATGTGTTATGTCCTCCTCTAGTGATCTCCAGCGCCGTCCAGCATGTGGATTTTGCTGATGCTGACCTCTCTAAGGTGGAGAACCCAGTCAGGGTTGTTTTTGTGCTGGTGGTTCACGGACGAGCAGTTCGACAGTTGAAGCGTCTCCTGAAAGCTATATATCACAAGGACCACTTTTATTACATCCACGTCGACAAGGTAAGCTGAATAATGCACCAGGATATATATATATATATATATATATATATATATTAGTTATGTACCTATGAGGGTCCAAACGCTTACACACTGCTGAATACACACAAGATGTACAGCAACACACAAATATCTTTACACATGAAAACTATTAAAGGATTAAAATGTTATGTAAAAGTGATTATTTTCTACATGAATATAAACAGCAGTGCCTCCATGCCTTCTTCACCTCGGAGGGCTTTTCCAGTTCATTCATGACAATCTGCATCTCTATAATGTTGTTATTATTATTAGCAGTATTATTGATTATCTGCAGATTTATATTTGCTTTAATAAACACAAGTGTAGATGTGTCCACCTGTGGGGTTTTGGAGAAGTCTGCATCAGCATATGTGGATAAGAACAGGACGTGTGTTTGGATATAACTCAGTCTTCTGACCACACTTCATTATTATTTTTCATTTATTCCTTTGCTGGAGATTAGAACTGAATTTAGAAATAGTTTTGACACAAATCTTTGTGCTTCACAAATGAAATTAAGTATGTGGGCTAATGGAGTGTTCAGAGGAGTGAGTGCCCACCGCTTCCTTACTCCATTAAAGTAAAGGAGTAAAGTGAAGAGTAAAGTAAAGAGGCTGAATGGAGGAGGCTCATTCTTTATCCTCGCGCTACAGATGCTCTGTTTTCTCACTATTGAAGCGCTCAGTTTTTCACTTACAAAGTAGCCATGTAAATAGCAAATGCGCCATGAAGCGACGCAACCGACTCTTAAAGGCAATGTGAGATGAGACTCTGATTGGTTTAATGCACGTTATGTTTAAAACACACTCAAAACTCATGGTTGTTGCTAGATCGGATAAGGTTGCGGCCAGAAGTTAATGAGAATTATTTATATTATTTATTAAATTTTGCATTTATTGTATTTTATTAACGCCAACCCCCACCGCAATCCTAAACCCAACCGTCACAGTAACTTAAAACAGTAGTTGTACCGGGTATTATTTATTCCATCTATTAAATTAAATTACCCAATAAATTGTATTTTGTAGCTACTACCTCCACCCAACCACAACCCTAAACCCAACCGTCACAGTACTGTAAAATATTTATTATTGTTATGCAGTGTCATAAAAAAGGCTACTATAATTGATGTACATATCGCACTTCCAGCCGGCTGCGTATCCAATCTAGCCTTTACCAAAACTCATTGAAAGAATAAGCACAACCCTGTTAGACCCTGCGCTGGAACGCAGAGCGCATTTATCCATCCTTAAAACGGCAAAAGTGGATTCAGACACGCCCTTAATGCTTTTGCGCTATGCGCTTTAGACTTTGTGCCTAGATCATTAAAATAGAGCCCCTTGTCTTGTTTTCAGAAATAAGACTGAATTAAGCAAGTTTTTCCTTGACAAGCTAAATAATCTGTCAATAGGTTAAGCAAAATAGACATCTCAAAGTGACAACAAGATTAGTTTTCATTATAGTTTTCAGGAAATAAAAACTCACTTAATTTTGACTGATTTCTGAAAACAAGACAAAATGTTTAGAAAATGCTTCTTGATTTCTGAATTTTTAGATTGGACTAGAAACAAGACAAGCCCTCCTCATTGTGAATCTCTCTGAATAAAAGACTAGTTGATAAGTCAGTGCAGTGTTTGATTTTCTTTAGTCATGTTGCCTTTACTAGCCAATATTTCAAAGCACACTGATGTGTATTTATGCAAGTCACATGTCAGTAAAAGCATTCTCTCATTGGTCAGAGCGCATCTGTGTACATTCCTCTGTGCCATCCATTATGATGGATCTACAAGTTCACCTTTGGGCTTATTCTGTCTTCTGTATATGAGCCAGGAGTAAAAACACCCTTGACTATGACTGATGACTGCTGTATTGTCTCTCGCAGCGCTCCAACTACATGCATCGGGAGGTGTTGAAGATGGCGGAGCTCTACCCCAATGTGAGAGCCACACCCTGGCGCATGGTGACCATCTGGGGTGGAGCCAGTCTGCTGAAGGCCTACCTGCGCAGCATGCATGATCTGCTGTCCATGCTGGACTGGAAGTGGGACTTCTTTATCAACCTCAGTGCCACTGACTTCCCCACAAGGTCAGCATATAGTTAGGATTGTCAAAGTGACTATTCAAAACTAGCCTAGAGCGCCGTCTGCTGTTCAAAACTAGCCTAGAGTGCCGTCTGCAGTTCAAAACTAACCTAGAGCGCCGTCTGCAGTTCAAAACTAGCCTAGAGCGCCGTCTGCAGTTCAAAACTAGCCTAGAGCGCCGTCTCCTGTTTAAAACTAGCCTAGAGCTCCACCTGCTGTTAAAAACTGGCCTAGAGCTCCACCTGCTGTTAAAAACTGGCCTAGAGCTCCACCTGCTGTTAAAAACTAGCTTAGAGCACCATCTTCTGTTAAAAACTATCCTAGAGTGCCGTCTCCTGTTCAAAACTAGCCTAGAACGCTGTCTGCAGTTAAAAACTAGCCTAGAGCTCCGCCTGCTGTTAAAAACTAGCTTAGTGCACCATCTTCTGTTAAAAACTATCCTAGAGTGCCGTCTGCAGTTAAAAACTAGCCTAGAACAGATCTTCTGTTAAAAATTTGCCTAGAGCCCCACCTGCTGGTACAAACTAGCTTAGAGAGCTATCTTCAGTTCAAAACTAGCCTAGAGCACCGTTTGCTGTTCAAAACTAGCCTAGAGCGCCTTCTGCTGTTTAAAACTAGCCTAGAGCGCCATCTGCTATTCAAAACTAGCCTAGAGTGCCGTCTGCTGTTCAAAACTAGCCTAGAGCTCCGCCTGCTGTTCAAAACTAGCCTAGAGCACCGTCTGCTGTTAAAAACCAGCCTAGAACAGATCTTCTGTTAAAAATTTGCCTAGAGCCCCGCCTGCTATTAAAAACAAGCTTAAAGCGCTATCTTCAGTTCAAAACTAGCCTAGAGCGCCGTTTGCTGTTCAAAACTAGCCTTGAGCGCCTTCTGCTGTTTAAAACTAGCCTAGAGCGCCATCTGCTGTTCAAAATTAGCCTTGAGCGCCTTCTGCTGTTCAAAACTAGCCTAGAGCGCCATCTGCTGTTCAAAACTAGCCTAGAGCACCATCTTCTCTTCTAAAGTGGCCTAGAACGCCATCTTCTGTTAAATACTAGCCCAACGCACCGTCTGCTGTTTAAAACTAGCCTAGAGCACCGCCTGCTGTTCAAAACTAGCCTAGAGCGCCATCTGCTGTTCAAAACTAACCTAGAGCGCCGTCTGCTGTTCAAAACTAACCTAGAGCGCCGTCTGGTGTTCAAAACTAGCCTTGAGCGCCTTCTGCTGTTCAAAACTAGCCTAGAGCGCCATCTGCTGTTCAAAACTAGCCTAGAGCGCCATCTGCTGTTCAAAACTAACCTAGAGCGCCGTCTGGTGTTCAAAACTAGCCTTGAGCGCCTTCTGCTGTTCAAAACTAGCCTAGAGCGCCATCTGCTGTTCAAAACTAGTCTAGAGCGCCGTCTGCTGTTCGAAACTAGCCTAGGGTGCTGTCTGCTGTTAAAACTAGCCTATAGCACCAACTGTTGTTAAAAACTAGCCTAGAGCGCCATCTTCTTTTAAAAACTAGTCTAGAGTGCCATCTGCTGTTTAAAACTAGCCTAGAGCGCCGTCTGCTGTTGAAAACTGACCTAAAGCGGCATCTGCTGTCAATAATTAGCCTAGAGCACCATTTTCTGTTCGAAAGTAGCCTAGAGCGCCATCTTTTGTTAAAAACTATTCTAGAGTGCCGTCTGCTGTTCAAAACTAGCCTAGAGCACTGTTTGCTGTTGAAAAATAACCTAAAGCGGCATCTGCTGTTAATAATTAGCCTAGAGCACTGTCTGCTGTTAAACGCTAGCCTGGAGCGCCGTCTGATCTTAAAAATTAGCCTAGAGCGTTGTCTGCTGTTTAAAACTAGCGTTGAGCGCTGTCTGCTGTTACACTAAGCTGAAAGTTGATTTAAGTGAGAATAACTATGCATTTTGAAAACTGCAGCTCTATATTTTTGGGAATCTTTGGTTTTATTGCATCAAATGTATAATTATGTAATGTGGAATTAACCTTTCATGCACTCTTAAGAACCTTAGCTTTGGAAAAGCTGGACTACCAGTTTTTTTCAATAGTTCAAAAGGTAACCAGGATGATGCTATCAATGCTATTCTCCTGGAGGATGCTATCCCAGAATTCACTGCAGTATTTCTTCTTTTATTTTATTTTTTTACCTGAGATGATTAATGATGTTGATTTATGAGATGCGCATGAATAAATCTCAGAGTTTACATCCGAAGACGTCAGGTCTCAGAGCGTGTTGATGCTGGCAAATCTGCCTCTTTGTCTGCAATCTGTTTCGGGGAGGATTTCTCCAACACTTCAGAGCCTTACAATTTCACAATCCCCCCCAGCTGTTGATGCCGTTTTCTTTTTTTAAAGCCCGCTAAATAAGCTAAATGGGTGTACATGGCCTGCTGCACATGTAGACGCTGATACGGACCAAATCCTGTCAGCAGCAGCAGCAGAATTCCTCTCAGATGAAGACTTCACCCACGCCACCCTGCAGTCAGCGCCGGCTTTCTGACATAATCCCTGGTTTTATCTCCTCTCTCCTCTCTCACTATCGCTCTCAAACAGGACCAACGATGAGCTGGTGGCTTTTCTCTCCCAGAACCGTGACAAGAACTTCCTCAAGTCTCACGGCAGAGAGAACGCGAGGTAAACTTTCATTTCTCATTCAGATTTAGGTAGGCCTACTAGCTATCTTCCACATCATCTACTGCTGGATGATACATGGGTGGGAATGAAGCAGATTAGATTCATTAACACATTCAAGTGAGTTCTTAAAGGAATGCTCCATTTAGTTTGGAAACAGGCTCATGTTTAGCTCCCCTAGAGGCAAACTGCTGAGTTTTACCACTTTTGAATCCTTTCAGCAGATCTCTATGTCTGACGGGAGCACTTTTAGCTTAGCATAGATCATTGAATCGGATTAGACCATTAGCATCTCGCTCCAAAACTGTAAAAAAGTGTTTAGGTAATTTTCCTATTTAAAGCTCGACTCTTTTGTAGTCACATCATGTGCTAAGACAGACCAAAAAAATTAAAAGTTCCTTATTTCAAGGCTGATACGACTAGGAACTATATAACAACATCAACAGCCTAAGGTTTCAAGACATTTGTGCTGCCCAAACCACAGGAGAGAGAAAATTCTCCAGCAGGATAGCGCTCCTTCTCATACTTCAGCCTCCACATCAAAGCTCCTGAAAGCGAAGAAGGTCAAGCTGCTCCAGGATTGGCCAGCCCAGTCACCAGACATGAACATTATTGAGCATGTCTGGGGTAAGATGGAGGAGGCGTTGAAGATGTACACAAAGAGTCTTGATGAGCTCTGGGAGTCCTGCAGGAAGACTTTCTTTGCTATTCCAGATGACTTTAATAATCAGTGATTTGAGTCAGTGCAGAGATGTATGGATGCAGTCCTCCTAGCTCATGATGGAGTCAGACACAATATTCATTCTGTCTCCACTGCAGCAGGACTTTATATTCTATACTGGACATTATTTCGGTTCAGTGACAGGACTTTTGTCTAAACACAGTCAGACCTTACTGTCCTGATCAAATCATTCAAAATCAAGGCATGATTATGTTTTATCGGGGTTAAAATAAGCGTCATCTAGAGTAGGGGTTCCCAAACGTTTCAGCCCACAACCCCCAAAATGAAAAAGATAATGCCAGTGACTCGCGACCCCAATATCCTCTGAGGTGGTTATAAATACAGAAATCTTGCATGCAATGGCGCACACACACACACACACACACACACACACCAATAGACCAAGTCTATTCTTCGTTTAATTTTTTAAAATGTATTTCAGTGCTGTAAATAGGCCAGAAAGTTTAACCCGGTGTTATAAACTCAATCTGCTGCATCTGACGCTATTGCTCTGTCTTTAATATAATGTAATTACCCCAGGGGTCGCAATCCAATAGAACAAGTAACTATAAGCTACTATAGGAACTATAAACAACAATTTTTGTCTTCAGTCGGTTATAGATAAAATATGGTAATTTTTATGGTTTAATAAAAATAAATAGGCTTTTGGAAATCACCAGGCGACCCCCCTCTTCATTGTCCCGCAACGCCTCGGGGGGCCTCTAGAACCACTGATCTAGAGGCCTTTGCCTTTTATATAAGCAACTTCTGATACCAACTAGAAGTCATAAGGGACCGAGCACCGGAACGATGCGTAAGCCCTATTGGAATTGCACATTTCTTCTTATTATTCTTTTCTAGAATGGATCCGTATTTTGAGGGTCTAAACATGCCCGAAAACTCACAAAACTTTGCACACGCCCCAAAAGTGCCGAAAACGTATCTTTGTTATAGGTTTTCGGAAGTGGGCGTGGAATAATGACTTAACAGCGCCACCTATGCACATTTGGCAAACTGGCCCTCGAGGTACGTTTCACGTACACGCACGAAAATTGGCACACACCTCAAACATGGCAATACCTACAAAAAAAGTATTTTGGAGCCAAATCTCAAACCCAACAGGAAGTCGGATATTTTTTACTTCCTCAGCCAAAAAAGTGCCGTTTTGCCATATTCAGGCGTTGTATTTTAACGAACTCCTCCTTGGGATTTATTCGGATCAACACCAAAATTGGCTTTTTGTCATCTAAAGGCCTTGGTGATGTTAAATGCGAAGATCTAGAGTTTTCGTCGAAGGGCGTGTCCGTGGTGGTCTCGCAAACTTTGACGATTCACCACGAAACAAGAAATTGTTCTAACTCAGGCATGCATTAAACCAGGGGTCACCAAACTTATTCCTGGAGGGCCAGTGTCCTGCAGATTTTATCTTCAACCCTAATCAAACACACCTGAACAAGCTAATCAAGGTCTTACAAGGTATACTTGAAACATCCAGGCAGGTGTGTTGAGGCAAGATGGAGATAAACCCTGCAGGGACACCGGCCCTCCAGGACCAGGATTGGCGAACCCTGCATTAAACAATCTGACTTGAAACTCACACGTTTGATAACAGTCCTGATCTGAACACGTTTACATGCCAGTATCCAGTTACAGTTATAGCTCCACCTGCTGGCAACAGGAAAGGACCTGTTTTACAGTGTAACAAACTCCTCCTACAAATTATATCACATCCAATCTATGTTCTGATACTGTAGTCTAAAGGCCTTTGTGATGCTAAACTGTGAGGATCTAGAGTTTTCGTCGAAGGGCGTGTTCAGTGCTTCGCCATGGAGGAGGAAGTACTTATAACTCAACACACAATAGCCCCTTTCACACAGTGATATCGGTAAATATATGGAAAATTTCCGGAACGACTTTACCGGTAATTTCAAAAAAGCGCTGTTCACACAGGCGAGGATGTTACGGAATTTTTCTGGAAAAGAGCATTCACACATCCTTTCCAAAATACTGGTAAATTCTGACATCATTAACCAGAAATGAGCTCTAAACGGATGTGCTTGTATTTGTAAACATTTGACTACATTACGAACTCTGTGGATGATCAGTATTGTGAACGACTTCAATGAAAACATGAAGAGAAACACTTTCGTATGTCAAGATGTACATGATATGTGTGTGCTGGCGCTCATGGGCTGTTTCACGGGCACACGCAAAGCTTGAAGGTAAACAAACAACGGCTTATTACAAGCATCTTATCGATAATTAATTACACTGTTGGCATTAAGATGAACATATAAATGTTACCTGACTAACATCTAGCAGCTAAATGTGCCTGGAAAAATATTCAAAGGCTTTTATTCTCATAAACCGCGCTCACGTGAATGCGTCTCACTGCTCTGATTGGCTAAAGCAGGCGTCTCATGTCAGCACGTTCTAGACGTGCACGCGCTCTTTCCGGCAATCTTCCTTCTGCGTTCACACAGCGCAGCATTCCGGCATTCCTGCTTGCAGCTTTACGCCCTATTCACACTGGGGGTCAGCGTCAACGCTTCCCATTCACTTTGAATGGGTGACATCAGGCGTAACCGAACTGCATTGTGGATCCGTCGGCACCGCTTCAGAAGCGTTGCTCGCTGCAGAAGTTGGGACTAGCTCAACTTTTCAAGCGCCAACGGAAGCGTCAGCCAATCAGATCGCTGTATGCAAATACACCAGCTCAGACAGTGGCCTATTGCTGACTGGATTTCATTGGCTGACGCTTTTATGACGATCGCTTCAGCCCCAACTTCAGACACGCCTTCAGTCAAGCGTTGACGCTGAAGCCCCGTGCGAATAGGACGTTAATTACTTGTTTTTCCTAGAACTTGGACTGGACCTGACTTGTGTCAGGTAGTGTAGTCCCTCCTTAGTACTATTTATAGATACTGCTTAGCATCATTGCTCCTATATAAGTATATAAACCAGCACTGTAAATATCATTTATTGTTTTTGAATTGCCTTAAACACAATCACCTGAAGGTCAAATATAAAAACAAACTGTTCCTTAAAATGGCAATAAACTTTGCGAAAAAACTTTATACAGTAGTTATTCTTTACTCCAGAAATGTGTCCTTTTAATGAGCCTTCTATTGTCATTCATTATGATTTCCAGACATCTTTTGACATGCCTCTTATAAATAATGCAGTCTTAACTAGCGGAGGCAGTGTTTATGGAGACATCAGTCAGCATCCGTCTCTCCGCTGTCACGCAGGTTCATTAAGAAGCAAGGTCTGGACCGCCTGTTTCACGAGTGTGACAACCACATGTGGCGTCTGGGTGAGCGCACCATCCCCGAGGGACTGGAGGTGTCAGGAGGCTCGGACTGGTTTTCTCTCACACGGAAATTTGTGGAGTATGTGGTGAACTCGCAGGATGAGCTGGTGACAGGACTCAAGCAGTTCTACACCTACGCCCTTCTGCCTGCTGAGGTAATTCACAGGATTTTCAGGAAATCAGTGTATAGTCACATGAACTTTTAATTTCCAGTCAGCCAGCCCAGGCATTTCCGCTCTTGTCATTACAGAATCGTTACATATATGATCTGATTTCTTTAAAAATCAGTGATCTTCTCTGCCTCATTGATATACAATATAAAGGAGGTTTCAGACTAGACAAGAAGCACTGCATTAAATGTCATTTTTCCTTGCCATGTCTTTAAAATCAAAATTTTTCCCCAATATTTTCGATGGAGTTTCTGGACTAGCCTGCTGCTACTGATGACGCTAGCATTTGCCTTCCTCTCATTATAGACTCAACTAAATGAATGCTTAAGTCTGTTTATTTAATTAAGTCTGTATTTTAATTACATTACAACATTGATGCTGTACAAGGAAACTTATGAAATTAAAAATAGTCACATCAACCGTTCATCTGAGGTTTCAAAATGCGCTGTTATTCTCTCTTAAATCAATTCTGAGTTTAGTTTTGAACAGCAGATGGCGCTCTAGGCTATTGTTGAACAGCAGATGGCGCTCTAGGCTATTGTTGAACAGCAGATGGTGCTGTAGGCTATTGTTAAACAGCAGATGGTGCTCTAGGCTAGTTTTAAACAGCAGATGGCGCTCTAGGCTAATTTTGAACAACAGAAAATGGCGCTCTAGGCTAGTTTTAAACAGCAGATATCGCTCTAGGCTAGTTTTAAACAGCAGATGTCGCTCTAGGCTAGTTTTGAACAACAGAAAATGGTGCTCTAGGCTAGTTTTAAACAGCAGATATCGCTCTAGGCTAGTTTTAAACAGCAGATGGCGCTCTAGGCTAGTTTTGAACAACAAAAAATGATGCTCTGGGCTAGTTTTTAACAGCAGATGGCGCTTTAGGCTAGTTTTGAACAGCTGATAGCGCTCTAAGCTAGTTTTGAACTGCAGATGGCAATCTAGGGTAGTTTTGAACTGCAGATGGCGCTCTAGGCTAGTTTTGAACAGCAGATAGCGCTCTAGGCTAGTTTTGAACAGCAGATAGCGCTCTAGGCTAGTGTTTAACAGCAGATGGCGTTCTAGGCTAGTTTTGAACAGCTGATATCGCGCTAGGCTAGTTTTGAACTGCAGATGGCGCTTTAGGCTAGTTTCGAACTGCAGATGGCACTCTAGGGTAGTTTTAAACAGTAGATGGCGCTCTAGACTACTGTTTATCAACAGAGGGCACCCCAGGCTGTTTTGAATTGCAGACGGAGCTCTAGGCCAGTGTTTAACTGCAGAAGGCGCTCTAGGCTAGTTTTTTTACCAGCAGACCGGGCTCTTGGCTAGTTTTTAACAGCAGACAGCACTCTAGGTTAGTTTTGAACTGCAGATGGCGCTCTAGGCTAGTGTTTAACAGCAGATGGTGCTCTAGGCTAACGTTTAACAGTAAATGGCCCTCTAGGATAGTTTTGAACTGCAGATGGCGCTCTAGGCTAGTTTTGAACTGCAGATGGCGCTCTAGGCTAGTATTTAACAGGATATGGTGCTCTAGGCTAGTTTTAAGTAGCAGAATGTGTGTGTGCTGTTTGTAGAGTTTGTGTATCAGTTCATGAATAGTTTCAGCTGTGTGTTCTTGCGATTAGCAGAAAAGCGGAACAGGTGTGAGTGTGTGGTGCATGACCGGATTTGTAGTTCCTTTGGTGGCAGATTTGAAGCTCTCCAGCGATCTGTATGGAGTAGATCGCTGGTAATTGTAAGGCATAACATGACGTTGTTCATTTTAGGTCTGCACAGTATTGTACTTCGTCTTAAGGTTGATCTTTTACTGCTTAAAGTAAAGTTACAACTACAAAGTCTTCTTTTAAACACTCAAAAGGCTTCATAATGTGCTCATAATATTTATTTTACTGCTTTATGCAGCAGTAATATATTGAGAGGTGATTAAAGCTATTAAGATAAATCAAATAAGCCAAGTACATTGAAACATGAAATTTAAAACAACCCAGTACTGGGGAACACCCATACACACTCATTCACACACACTCATACACTTTGGCCAATTTAGTTTATTCAATGCCCCTATAGCGCATGTGTTTGGACTGTGGGGGAAACCCACGGCAACACGAGGAGAACATGCAAACTCCACACAGAAATGCCAACTGGCCCAGTCGGGACTCAAACCAGCGACCTTCTTGCTGTGAGGCGACAGTGCTAACCACTGAGCCATCATGCCGCCCCTTAAATTACAACTTAACTAATAAAAAACAAACCAGATATGACACACATTGTATCTTGGCCACTAAATATGGTTGAATCATTATTTCATAAATGTGTTGATGTGATACTCTGTTAGGTAATTTCATTTATTATGGAGTAAACATCACGCACTGCATCCCTGCGGCTGTATTATATAACTCCTACTGTGCTCTGTCTGGTTTTCAGTCTTTCTTTCACACAGTGTTGGGAAACAGCCACATGTGTGATACTCTGGTGGACAATAATCTCCGCGTGACCAATTGGAACCGGAAGTTGGGCTGCAAGTGTCAGTATAAGCATATAGTGGACTGGTGCGGCTGTTCACCAAATGACTTCAAACCCTCAGACCTCATCAGAATACAGGTCAGTGAAGTGTTAAATGCTCCTTACATAGGGATGGGATGACTCAAGACAAAAAAACAGTCTGAACAGCGTATGTTTATTCTGTGTTGTTTTTTACTACCCTTGAACACCTTGATTAGTTTGATCAGCTGTGTTTGAATAGGGTTGGAGCAAAACTGTGCAGAGCTGCGGCCCTCCAGGAATTGAGTTGGAGACCTATGCTCCAGATCTATTCAAACAATCAGAATGGGTCCCTGTCACTAATTATGCTTTGTGCTCTTATCCCCCTCAACAGCAACTAACTCGGCCTACATTCTTCGCCCGTAAGTTCGAGTCTACAGTGAACCAGGAGGCTATCGAGATCCTGGACAATCATCTGTATGGGCAGTACCCTCCTGGCACAGTGGCACTGAAAGCATACTGGGAAAGCCTGTTTGAGCAGGCAGATGGGGTCTCGTCCCTCAATGATGTGGCCCTCACAGCGTACTCCTCCTTTTTTAGACTGGGCCTCCGTAGGCAAGAGACCTCTCAAAGCAGTTCTGAGGCCTGCAGGTGAGCGAGTCATCCATCTAAATCAGGGGTCACCAATCCTGGTCCTGGAGGGGCCGGTGTCCCTGCAGGGTTTAGCTCCATCTTGCCTCAACACACCTGCCTGGATGTTTCAAGTATACCTAGTAAGAACTTGATTAGCTAGTTCAGGTGTGTTTGATTAGGATTGGAGCTAAAATCTGCAGGACACCGGCCCTCCAGGAACAAGTTTGGTGACCACTGATCTAAATGATCAAGTGACCTATTCTCATCCATCAGTTCATCAAATAATCAGTTACAAATCCTTTATCTCAGTTTAAATCCATTCCTTCATCTCAATCCTTTACCACCCATCCCTTCAAGCCAATACATACATCATTTATCTCCATAATTCCTTCCAATACACTTTTACATTGATCATCCCAGAAAGCTCCATCTCTGTCCCGTCCAATCCAATTATGCTTACACCATCCTTAAAAGCTCCATCCATTCCTCCATCTTCCATCCCTCCAACCCAGTTCATACATCATCAGTCCAATTTATGATCTCAATATCTCTTCAGTTCCTTCCAATCCAATAATGGCTACATCATCCCATCAAGCTCCATCCCAGTCCTGTTGACTCGTCCATCCATAACTCCAACCCCCTTCATACATCATCCTAGTCCAATCCTTAATCCCAATCTATACCCTTAGTTCCTCTCAATCCAATTATTGCTGAATCCTCCCCCAAAACTCCATTCCTGCTTTTCCAAACAAGTTATCCCTCTACTGTCCCCAAATCTCCACCCAGTCCAATTCATTTGTCCATCTTCCATCCCTCCAACCCAGTTCATACATCATCAGTCCAATTTATGATCTCAATATCTCTTCAGTTTCTTCCAATCCAATAATGGCTACATCATCCCATCAAGCTCCATCCCAGTCCTGTTGACTCGTCCATCCATAACTCCAACCCTCTTCATAAATCATCCTAGTCCAATCCTTAATCCCAATCTATACCCTCAGTTCCTTTCAATCCAATTATTGCTGAATCCTCCCCCAAAACTCCATTCCTGTTCTTCCAATCCAATTATGCCTCTACTGTCCCCAAATATCCGCTTCAGTCCAATTCACTTGTCCATCATCCATCTCTGTAACTCTGTTCATACTCTACTCATACATCATTAGTCCAATTTATGATCCAATATATCTCTTCAATTCCTTCCAATACACTTATACCTTGATTATCCCTGTAAGCTCCATCCCTGTTTCTTCCAATCCAATTATGCTTCCACCATCCTCAAAAGCTCCATCCCAGTCCAATTCGTTCCTCTATCTTCCATCCCTCCTACCCAATTCACACATCACCAGTCTAATTTATGATCCCAATATGTCTTAAATTCCTTCCAATCCAGTTATGGCCACATCATCCCTGTTCTCTCCAATAGAATCATGCCTCCACCAAAGCCCCATCGCAGTCCTGTTCATTCCTCCATCCATAACTCCAACCAAGTTCATACATCATCTTAGTCCGATCCTTAATCCCAGTCTGTACTCTCAGTTCCTTCCTATCCAATTATAGCTGAATCCTCCCCCAAAACATTCATGTTTTTCCAATCCAATTATGCCTCCACTTTCCCCAAAGCTCCATGCCAGCCCAATTCATTCCACTATCATCCATCCCCGTAACCCAGTTCATACATCATCAGTTTAATTCACCATCTAATATAACCCTTCAATTCCTTTCAATACACTTATACCTCCATCACCCCCCAAAGCTCCATTGATGTCACTTCCAATACTATTATTTCTCCACTATCCCCAAAAGGTCCATCACTGTCCACATTCATCCCATCATCCATCTCTCCCGCCCAGTTCATACATCATCCTAGTCCAATTGGTCATCCCAATATATGCCCTCAGTTCCTTCCAGCCCAATTAAGCCTCCATCATCCTCAAAAGTGCCATCCCAGTCCCATTTATTCCTTCATCCATGCCAGTTCATCCAATTCAGTCCATCCCAGACCACCTCTTAAATCCATCCAGTCTATCCCTGTAATCAATTTAAACTTTTACTCTAATTTGTCCATCTTTACCTGTTCAGTCCTTTGCATTATAACAGTCCATCGTCCCAGTTTAGACCAGTCAAACCACCATCCATCATACAAGTTAATCTATCCATAAATCACTCCTCCATTACAGTCTTTTTTTCCATTCAATCCATCCAGTCCAATCAATCCTTCCCCTCAATCCATCCCTCCAATCCTCTCCTTCCCATCCATCCTTCTTCTCAATCCAACCCTTCAACCCCCTCCTTTCTATTAATCCATCCAATTAGTTCAATCTGTCCAAACCATCCTTCCCTACAGCCCCCTCATTCCCATCAATCCATCCATCCAGTCCAATGCATCCAATCTATCCTTCCCCTCCAATCCCCTCCTTTCCATCCGTCCATCCCCTCAATCCATCCCTCCTATCCCCTCCTTCCCATTAATCCATCCAATCAGTCCAATCTATCCAATCCATCCTTCCTTTCAGTCCAACCCTCCAACCCCCTTATTCCCTTCAATCCATCCGTCCAATTACATCCTTCTCTTCAATCTGTCCGTCCGTCCAATCGTCCAATTAAATCTGTCTGTCCATCCCATCATCCAATCCAGTCAATTCAATTCCATTCAATCCATTCGTCCATCCATCAAAACTCTTCTATTCAATCCACCCAAACCACTTCAATCCCACCATTGATTATATCCTGACTGACTATCCAGGCATCAGATGAATACTTACCCCATTGTTTTGTTTTTTTTTACCCACAGATTTGAACCCATTGGTTACCCCGTCTCAGTGCACCTGTATTTTTATGATGACCGTTTCCAAGGATACCTGGTCAGGCAGGAGGTGCAGAATATGGTGACCAGGTCCCGTGAGATGCTGGAGGTGTGGGCTGTTCCTCAAGCAACCCTGCAGCTGGAACACAACCTTCATGAGTTTGAGCGCCTCAAACACCTCGAGGTGAGATGCCACATACAGACAATTGTACACACATTAAAATCACAATGTAATTAGTTAATTTTTTGCAACAAGCTGAATGATCATTCCCTTATAGCAAACCAATGGTAAAAGGGATGTAATTAAGAAAATTGGGTCCCACTTTATATAAGCGGCCATCAAAATATAAATACAATGTACTTACTGTGTTCATAATGTATTGCAGAACACTCGAGGTGGGATAGGGTTAGGGACAGGTTTAGTGGTATGGGTAGGTTTAAGGGTGGGTTGTGGTGTTAGGGATGGTCAACCATGTAATTACGACTGTAACTACATATAGGTATTTAATCAATCATAAGTACAATGTAAAAACATGTATTTGCACAATAAGTATATTGTAATAAATAATTAATTTCAGTGCAAATACATATTAATTAAGGCCACTTTATATAAAGTGGGACCGAATATTGTGGCTGAAACCATCAAACTGACATCAACAGAGCAGTACCTCCACTCCAAAAGTAGAAGCAGATGATCAGATTTGATTGAAGATTACCAAAAACAAAGTGGATTGCACGGATTAATTGTTCACCTAAAGCATAACAAGGTGCGCTAGCAAAACATTTTTTTTATGCATGCTGTCTCGTACTAGGTTGGAACCGAATGGGACCCCAAGGAGCGAATCTTCCGCAACTTTGGTGGTGTGATGGGACCTCTAGACGAGCCGGTGGCCGTTCAGAAGTGGGCCCGTGGACCCAACCTGACGGCCACTATAGTGTGGATTGACCCAGCGCACATAGTAGCAGCGTCCTACGACATCAGCATAGATGTTGAGGCAGAATACACGCAATACAAGCCCCCCCTTCAGCGCCCCCTCAGGCCTGGATTGTGGACGGTGCGGGTGCTGCGGTTGTGGGAGCGTGTAGCAGAAGCACGATTTCTGGTCATGCCTCTAGCCTTCAAGGGACGTGAGCCGTTGCGCACAGGTGAGACATCAGTGCTTAAACCATGAAAAGTAAATACCTGGTAGGGTTGTCATGAAAATGCAATTTCAGCACCAATCGGTAATGGATTTTTAAAGAGCCCCTATTATATATTAAAAAGGGTCATATATTGTGCATATATATTGCACTTCAATCATCGTCTGGTTTTGCTCAGCTGCCAAAACTGACCTACAGTGATTAGTCCGGACTGCTGAACGTATCACTGGCACTACCCTTCCTACACTTCAAGAACTGTACTCTTCCAGTGTAAGGGCTTGCAAAATCCCTCTAGATGCCTCACACCCAGCACATTACCTGTTCAATCTGTTACCGCTTCAGCGCACCAAGCACAAAAACAGCCAGACAAAGGAAAAGTTTCTTTCCTCAGGCCATCTACCTCATGAACAGTTAAATATTCGCCTACTGTGCAATAAACGTGCAATTCCTTCTTATACGCATTTGTACACAGCACCTTATAACCTGTATATTTATAACAAATCTGTACAAACAAGTCAAAATCCAGATTTTATTTTTTGACTAACTGCTTTTTAATGTGTTAATTGTGTCTGTTTAATGTTTATCGTATTTCTTTTTATTTATTTTGTGTTGTCACTTTATGTACACTGGAAGCTTCTGTAGCCAAAACAAATTCCTTGTGTGTGTGAAGCACACCTTGCAATAAAACTGATTCTTATATTAATTAATTGTCTTATAATCGGCATTTATTTTTACCTAATTATCCCAACGCTCAGCGATTCATTTGTTCCCAAACCCCTCCTTAGCGCAATGCTAATCTGGACCAATGACAGTCTGTTGGGATTGGTCAACAGCGTTCAGCGCGAGACAGAACGAAATGGCCACCACAGCTTATCAACAATATTGAGGTAGTCAGTGAATCAATGGTTTTAAACAAGGCGTACTTTCAGATTTTCAGCTGGATCTTTCACTTCACTCAGAGCTGTGTTGCACACTACATGCTGAAGGTCATTTTCAAAAACCAATAATAGGGGCTCTTTAAAAACCTCAACTTCCTGCTGTTTGAGCTCTGTTGAGTGCGTACTTAAGCACTGCTGATTGGTCATTGTGCTCATGTGCTCAACAGAAATGGCTGTAAAGGTCATGTTTACCAGTTACTGCTTAACAAATGCTAAGTTAACTATTTGCTATCACCATGGTTGATTAACAGCATTTAATTGTGACTTAATATAAAGTGTTTTGGTTTTTTACCCTGCTGTTTACTGTGTGGTAAATAAGTATTGAAAACGTCGCCATTTTTCTCAGAAAACATACTTCTAAAGGTGCTGTTGACTTGAATTTTTCACCGGATGTTGGTAACAACCAAAGAAATCCATATCGGCAAAGAAAACTAAACTAATTGAAGTTCTGTGTGATAAAATAAAAGACACAAGGAAAAAGTATTGAACACATGAAGAAAGGGAGGTGTAGAAAGGCAGTGAAAGACCAGACAGCAGCTGAAATCTCTTAGTAGTTCTTCAGCAAGCCTCTGCCCTTCCTCAGTGTAAATGAAGATCAGCTGCTTCAGTTCAACATTTACATTAGCAGGAGGATGAAGATGAAACCAGGGTGGACATTTCTGCAAGACAATGATCCAAAACACAGCCAAGGAGACTCTCGAGTGCTTTCAGAGAAAGAAAATCAAGCTGTAGAATGGCCCAGCCAATCACCTGATGTAAATCCGATTAAAAAAAAAGCAAAATAAAGCTCAAATTTGATGAACCCACAGAATCATCAAGATTTTCAGATTGTCTTGACGTCTGTGAGAAACTCACACCTGCGCAATGCATGTTTAATGGCATCTTTAAGCTGCAATCCCATGTCAACAGCTCCTTTAGAAATATTATTTCCAAAAAAAAACATGACCTGTTTAATACTTGTATCCCCACTGTATATATTTATACCCTTCTGACCTTTATCAAACGCACATCTCCTTGTTTCTCCTCTCCAGAAGACCACGGCTGGGTGCACGCAGGTCCTCCGGGTAACGTTTACCTAGAGCAAAGCTTCCAGCAGCTCGCCCATGTGTTAAAGCTGCCTCCAAGTGAGCCGGCCCTGCAGGAGGCACAGAAGAAGACCTCGCTGGTGGGGAAACCACTGGAGGCTTGGGTCGACAGCTCCGTGGGCGCTTTCTGGGTCACTGGAGATACTTGCTCCGAGCGCACCTCCTCCTGTCCCACTATAGGACTCTGCTCCAAAACCTCCTGGAGCTCCTTGTCTCCTGACCCCAAATCAGAACTGGCACCTGTCAAAGCTAACGGTCGCATTAGGTAGCCTCGCAAGCTCAGAAAAACTGAAAATCAGTGATGTTTACGAGTGGTGGTCTTCAAGACCAT